GAATTCAGTCCTGCGCGCTGTTGCTGTTGCTCCAATTTGGATTGCCACTGCACCTGAAGTGGCACCTTTTGAAGCACCTGAAGGCTTCAATCCTTGGTTGTCCAACTAAGGACAATCTATCCATCCATCCATTTATTTTATGAAAATTAATTGGACTGTCTTTTCAACATTTTGATCGCTGTTATTTTGACAAATTAGTGCTGTTGTTTTGATACGTGATGTAATGTGACTAATAAACATCAAACATTTCTCTTGTTGTATTTATTTATTTATTTCTACAGTAAGCTTTTTTATTTATTATGTCTGAAACGTATGCAGGAGTTCCAACACATCAGCAGTTGTGCGCACGCTCTATAGAGCTGTCTGGAGATGTTTTTTGCCGTGCACTGCCCACAGGGCATGCCACTGATGGTGTTGGATGAAGACACTTCATCCTTGCAGGACATGCCATCCGTGTCTCTGCTGGGCAGGAGCGTTTGTGCGAACTGGTGCACATGCTGCATCTGGAACATCCACTCCAAAGACTGTGTCCGCCAGGCCAAGGGCAACATCTTCTCTCGTTGTATTTTTAATAAACAATCAAAATAAAAATGCGCAATGACTTTGGACTTGTGGGGGCAAAGATTTAAGTTGCGAGATCCAAGCATACAGTTACCGGAACACACCCGGTCAAAATGAGAGAGTTCCCGGATCTTGTTCCGGCAGGATCCGGCTCAAATTAAGTCCTGTGTCATGTCAATTACTTGTGAAGGGGACATGTCCTTCTCACATTTAAAAAATATTTGTTTGGACCCCCGCCACACACACACACACACACACATTTACCATAAAATATTAGTTCACCCAGCACTATTTCTATTTCTTTGTGAACAAATCCATTCCACTTGATCAATAGGCAATTGCTCAAACCACTAAAAGTCCACTCCAGGTTTTCCTGGTTACAATAACTCACCACACCGCATGCAGTGTTTCTCCAGGTAACTTGGCTTGGCAGGACACTCATCTCTTTGTGGGGGTTTGTGGACAGGGTGGGGGAGGAGGGGGAGACACCTCTTTGTTGTGCTCTAGCTTAGCACTACATTAGTACCGGCAGCTGTCAACCGGGGTGGGGTGGGGTGTGTGGGGTTTAGGATGCGTGAGAGAAGTGGTGCATGCTCTATTAACACAAGGAGAGCTGTTGGTCAGGCTACTTCTTGTTGTGTTGTGCTCTCTAAAATAATTATTGAATCAAATGTTTACTTATGCAGGTAAACGTAGATGTTTAACGACCCGTGAAAATCAACCAGAATGCAGGAAATGCCATCTACTTTATTCAAAATCTTCTGGGGGAGGACACCCAGACCCTCCCACTAGTGTGTCGTCCACCCCCCCCCCCCCCCACACACACACACACATTATTTGTGTCTGCTAAGACTTTTTCATTAGTGTTTACACAGTCTGTTTTCAACAACAGTTTCACTGCACAGAAACATGTTTTAATGTTCAGAAATTACTCCAGCCTCCCACTAGAAAAGTTTATGAGAAGGCTGGGAGTCCTTAAACCAGCTCTGTGTAACTTTTTCCTTTTAGATTGTTATATTGAGTTTTCTGAATTTATTGCAAATTAACTGACTGAAATGTGTCTGGTCAATGTGGTGGTGAATCTTTTTGAGTTTTTTTGCTGCGGGGCAGTACTCTGGGTACACATTTTACATTAAGTTCAAATACATTGAAACCTCATTTAAGTCATTGTTACTTGAAGTTGACTTGTGTGTTGTTAAAAGCAGTTTTATCCACTTTTCAGAGAGCATTTTTAATAAAGGTTGGCAAAAGCAACATGTGGCAGCACGGTGGCGCAACTGTAGAGCTGCTGCCTCTCAGCGAGCAGGTCCTTGGTTCAAACCCCGGTCCGGAGGCCTTTCAGGGTGGAGTTTGCATGTTCTCTCCATGCATGCGTGGGTTTTCTCCGGGTACTCCGGTTTCCTCCCACAGACCAAAAACATGTATGTTAGGCTGATTGGTAACTCTAAATTGTCCCTAGGTGCGAGTGAGAGAGTGAATGGTTGTTTGTCTTGTAGTGGACTAGGCCTGATGTCGAAACCTTGACCTTAGGCACCTTGTGGGACAGAAACTGTCATTTCATTGATTTGAATCCAGAAATACAGGTTCACCCATCCTGAGACTTTCTTTCTTGAAAATTCAAGTGAAAGAACACTCTCTTTTCTATTATCATTACTGTTTTACAAATGTTTGATAATCAAAGTGTTTTAGTTCAAACATTTTAGATGTTACAGTGAACTAATCAATTTTTATTAAACTGTGAAAAACAGTAACAATGATTTTTAATCCTCATGCAAAGTTAGAATTCATGTTAAGGCCTGTTACAGAGTAATTATGCATTTTCTGATTTCCTGTCTTTGAATGAGCAGTGTACGTTTGCTCTAAGGTCGGAGTCGAAGCAGACAAGTGTTGGAACAACTGTCTTGTTTTTAAATCCTCTCAGACGTAAACAGAGAAGTTGGCACCTGTTTCTCCAAACTCGCCCAAACATTTCTCTCGCCTGTCTGAAAATGAATTTCAATCTGTTCTATAACATTCTTGCTGTTTTCTGACTTCTAGTAACCTTTTACGTCACAAAACACACCCCTGTCTGGTCGACATTGACCAATCAGGGACTCCCAAATGAACCGGAAATAGAGCCCTTTAAAATGTCGGTACTTCCTAGTTCTCTCAGTTCTGTGAAGCGGCAGTTCTGTGAAGTTTCAGTTCTGTGAGTTGCCATTGGAGTCGGGCTGGAGAGTTTGCAGCTCCAGTCGTTTGGGAGAACAGAAGTCCAGCCATGATAAGGCTCTTCCGAGATTGGGATTATAACATATATTCCCTCTGAGTGGAACTCGGACGAACCCCACTCATGTGAGGTCCACTGGCTGAGGTGAACTTGTGTCAGACGGGATATCGTCACTACTTCGGACGAGTCACAGCCATCCTATGGAGACGCTGGACAGGTAGCGTTAACTGGAACTCCGTATCCGCTGATTCATCTTCAGAGAGGTAACGAGTCAAGTTCACTACCGAGCGTACCGAGGAAAGCTGGGTTCGAATGGAG